AAGTATTTACAATTGTTATATCTTCTTCTGGGATTGATCCCTTGATCATTATGTAGTGTCCTTCTTTGTCTCTTGTAATAGTCTTTATTTTAAAGTCTATTTTGTCTCGTATGAGAATTGCTACTCCAACTTTCTTTTGATTTCCATTTGCATGGAATATCTTTTTCCATCCCCTCACTTTCAGTCTGTTTGTGTCCCTAGGTCTGAAGTGGGTCTCTTGTAGACAGCATATATACGGGTCTTGTTTTTGTATCCATTCTGCCAGTCTATGTCTTTTGGTCGGAGCATTAATCTATTTACATTTATAATATTTATCGATATGTGTGTTCCTATTACCACTTTTTAAATTGTTTTGGGTTTGTTATTGTAGGTCTTTTCCTTCTCTTGTGTTTCCTGCCTAGAGAAGTTCCTTTAGCATTTGTTGTAAAGCTGGTATGGTGGTGCTGCATTCTCTCAGCTTTTGCTTGTCTGTAAAGGTTTTAATTTCTCCGTCGAATCTGAATGAGATCTTTGCTGAATAGAGTGATCTTGGTTGTAGGTTTTCTCTTTCATCACTTTAAATATGTCCTGCCACTCCCTTCTGGCTTGCAGAGTTTCTGCTGAATGATCAGCTCTTAACCTTATGGGGATTCCTTTGTATGTTATTTGTTGCTTTTCCCTTGGTGCTTTTAATATTTTTTGTTAGTATTTAATTTTTGATAGTTTCATTAATATGTGTCTTGGCATGTTTCTCCTTGGATTTATCCTGTATGGGACTCTCTGTGCTTCCCAGACTTGATTGACTATTTCCTGTCCCATATTAGGGACGTTTTCAACTATAATCTCTTCAGATATTTTCTCAGTCCCTTTCTTTTTCTCCTCTTCTTCTGGGGCCCCTATAATTCGAATGTTGGTGCGTTTAATGTTGTCCCAGAGGTCTGTGAGACTGTCCTCAATTCTTTTCATTCTTTTGTTTTTATTCTGCTCTGCAGTAGTTATTTCTGCTATTTTATCTTCCAGGTCACTTACCCTTTCTTTTGCCTCAGTTATTCTGGTATTGATTCCTTCTAGAGAATTTTTAATTTCATTTATTGTGCTGTTTCATCATTGTTTGTTTCCTCTTTAGTTCTTCTAGGTCCTTGTTAAACGTTTCTTTTATTTTCTCCATTCTATTTCCAAGATTTGGGATCATCTTTACTATCATTACTCTGAATTCTTTTTCAGGTTGACTGCCTATTTCCTCTTCATTTGTTTGGTCTGGTGGGTTTTTACCTTGCTCCTTCATCTGCTGTGTATTTCTCTGTCTTCTCATTTTGTTTAACTTACTGTGTTTGGGGTCTCCTTTCTGCAGGCTGTAGGTTCATAGTTCCCATTGTTTTTGATGTCTGCCCCCAGTGGGTAAGGTTGCTTCAGTGGGTTTTGTAGGCCTCCTGGTGGAGGGGACTAGTGCCTGTGTTCTGGTGGTTGAGGTTGAATCTTGTCTTTCTGGTGGGCAGGACCACATCTGGTGTTGTGTTTTGGGGTATCTGTGAACTTATGATTTTAGGCAGCCTCTCTGCTAATGGGTGGTGTTGTGTTCCTGTCTTGCTAGTTGTTTGTCATAGGGTGTCCAGCACTGTAGCTTACTGGTCATTGAATGGAGCTGGGTCTTAGTGTTGAGATGGAGAGCTCTGAGAGAGCTTTTGCTGTTTGATATTATGCGGGGCCAGGAGGTCTCTGGTGGACCTATGTCCTGAACTCGGCTCTCACACCTCAGAGGCTCAGGCCCGACACTCGGCTGGAGCACCAAGACCCCATCAGCCACATGGCTCAGAAGAAAAGGGAGGGAAAAAAAAGAAAGGAAAAAATAAAGTTAGTAAATTAAAAAATAAAAGAAATTATTAAAACTTAAAAAAATTAAAAAGTAATAAAGAAAAAGAAAGAAAGAGAGAGCAACCAAACCAAAAAACAAATCCACCAATAATAACAAGCGTTAAAAACTATACTAAAAAAAAAAAACTCTGGACAGACAGAACTCTAGGAGAAATAGTAAAAGCAAAGCTATACAGACAAAATCACATAAAGAAGCATACACATACACACTCACAAAAGGAGAAAAAGGAAAAATATATATATGTATATAAAAAAAAGGAAGAAAGCAACAGAATCAATAAACAAATCTACCAATGATAGGAAGCTCTAAATACTAAACTAAGATAAACCTAAAACCAGAAACAACTTAGATGCAGAAAGCAAACCCCAAGTCTACAGTTGCTTGCAAAGTCCACTGCCTCAATTTTGGGATGATTTGTTGTCTATTCAGCTATTCCAGAGGTGCAGGGTACATCAATCTGATTGTGGAGATTTAATCCGCTGTTCCTGAGGCTGCTGGGAGAAATTTCCTTTCTCTTCTTTGTTCGCATAGCTCCCGGGGTTCAGCTTTGGATTTGGCCTCGCCTCTGCGTGTAGGTCACCTGAGGGCGTCTGTTCTTCGCTCAGAGAGGACGGGGTTAAAGAAGCAGCTGATTCGGGGGCTCTGGCTCACTCAGGCCAGGGGGAGGGAGGGGTACGGAATGTGGGGCGAGCCTGCGGCGGCAGAGGCCAGTGTGACGTTGCACCAGCCTGAGGTTCACCGTGTGTTCTCCTGGGGAAGTTGTCCCTGGATCCCGGGACCCTGGCAGTGGCAGGCTGCACAGGCTTCCGGGAGGGTAGGTGTGGATTGTGACCTGTGCTCGCACACAGGCTTCTTAGTGGCAACAGCAGCCTTAGCGTCTCATGCCCGTCTCTGGGGTCCGCGCTGATAGCCGTGGCTCGCGCTTGTCTCTGGAGCTCGTTTAGGCGGTGCTCTGAATCCCCTCTCCTCACACACCCCGAAACAATGGTCTCTTGCCTCTTAGGCAGTTCCAGAGTTTCTCCCGGACTCCCTCCCGGCTAGCTGTGACGCACTAACCCCCTTTGGGCTGTGTTCACGCCAACAACCCCAGTCCTGTCCCTGGGGTCTGACCTCCGAAGCCCGAGCCTCAGCTCCCAACCCCCGCCCGCCCCAGCGGGTGAGCAGACAATCCTCTCGGGCTGGTGAGTGCTGGTCGGCACCGATCCTCTGTGCGGGAGTCTCTCCTCTTTGCCCTCTGCATCCCTATTGCTGCGCTCTCCTCCATGGCTCTGAAGCTTCCCTCCCACCACCCTCGTCTCTGCCAGTGAAGGGGCTTCCTTGTGTGTTGAAGCTTTTCCTCCTTCACAGCTGCCTCTCAGAGGTGCAGGTCCCGTCCCTATTCTTTGTCTCTGTTTTTTCTTTTTTCTTTTGCCCTACCCAGGTACATGGGGAGTTTCTTGCCTTTTGGGAAGTCTGAGGTCTTCTGCCAGCGTTCAGTAGGTGCTCTGTAGGAGCTGTTCCACATGTAGATGTATTTTTGATGTATTTGTGGGGAGGAAGGTGATCTCCATGTCTTACTCCTCCACCTTCTTGGAACTCTCCCCCTGTAATAACTGTTAATAAAGTATAATCTATAAAAATACTGAATCACTATGCTGTACCTGAAACTAATATAATATTATAAATCAACTATACTTGAAAAGCAAAAACCAAAACAAAAAAAAAGCATAGAGTTGGGCTGTATCATACAACTTGATGTTCAATTTAAGTTCGAGAAAATACTTTCACTGATGGGTTTAGTCCCTTTACTTTCATTGTGATTGGCAAGATATTTAATTTTTTATGATTTTAATTTGTTCTTCTGATTTTTCTCTTTTATTCTCCTCTCCTGCTTTTTATTAGATTGTTATTTGAAAATAATATCCTATTTGCTGGTTTGAAAGTTACACTTCTAATTTTTATTCTTTTAATTGCCAATACTCAGACTTTTAGAATCACCTAGAGTACTTGTTAGAACATAGATTGCTGGGCCCACCCCCAGAGTTTCTAATTCAGAGCTGGGTTAGCCTCCAAGTATTTGCGTTTCTTACAAGTCCCCAGATAATGCTAATGCTGCCCTTCTGGAAATCACACCTTGAAAGACCGGCAGCAATTGGTGCTTACCAGCAGATAAATATTAGCACCTGTACCCAATAACCATTCCTAGTTGACTTCCTAATTATTTTTGAATTCTTTTACTTGTTGAGTTCTCTGCTTTCCCACCAGGTCAGCCATGCGTTAAAATGTTTAAATTTCATTGTATCCGATATTTTTAGGAGTGTAGTTCTCAGAGGAGTTTCTTTGACCATCTAATCCCATAATATTGCCAGGAACAGAAGCAGGACTGTAATTTCTCATAGGAGAATAATTTTTTCCCCCATTCTGAATGCTGAAAGAGAGAAACTTTCTTGCAAGTTTCTGGTCTGATGGCTGGAGTTTCTTTGGTCTCTTTGATATGAGGTACAGCCTTTACAGACTCCTGGCTGTAAGTAGCAGTTTAGCTCTGTGCCGTCTGTGAACCCAAGGCCATGTCTCCTGCCCTTGATAGGCAGTTCAAACTCCAGCTTTGAGTCTTGGGACATCAGCTTATGGCCTCCCGTTCTAATGAATATCCTCTTCATTACTAGCACTGCGTGGTTTCCCTTGGCTGTGTTTGTAGACTTGGGAGAGGAGGATGTATTTCATTCACCCGTTCTATGTGTGTCATGGGGTGGAGGTTGGGGAAGCTATGTAATCTCAGTCCACCTGGTTGTCTTCTCTTATTTTTCAGTTGTCATCTAACAGAGAACACGGGGCATAGGGTCAAAAAGGTTTGAGAAGCAGAAAGTGAGTGGAAAAGAGAATGCTTTGTCTGGAATGCACCTGAGCTTAGGGACTTGGAGTTGGTAGCATATCATTAGTACTGGAGAATAGTAGGTGGTGCTGAATTGGAAGTAATTGAAGGAAGGCACCTTGCTGGTGTTAGTTAACACTATAAATGAGACCTGGGAATTTTAAAAGTTTTAAATTTTTACTAGGGCCAATCTTCCTTGAAATGTTTTTATTGCATATAAAACATATGCTACTAAAATTTTTAAATATTTTTCTTTTGGAGTCATTCTTTTCTTAAATACTGACTTACCCTTCTTAGGTGTGCATTGACAACATATGCTGAAGAATATGCTCCACCGTATCAATATCAGCCACGTGTGAGTATAAGAGGGCTGAAAAGCCATATTCTAAATATTTATGTACTTAATATGATTCTTTACATGTAGTGTAAATAGTCATGCTTGAGAAGAAAGGACAAATGCTGAGATTTATGATGTTTTATATTTATTCAGAGATATTAGCTATTTGTGGGAGTTAATGGAATATTTTATGGTTATGATTTATTTTGGGAATAAGTTTATAGATTTCAGGGAGAAAATATTGCAGTGTCCAAAATATATTACTTTCTTCCTCATCTTATTTTATTGTCCCCCTCCCTAAATTCAATTTATCTGGAATAAGAACCTACCTTTCTATTCATTTGTATTGTATTAGCATATGAAAATAAGTGGTTTAATTTAGCTCTGGGAAATATGTATGTTGATAAAATATGTCCAGCTTACAACTTCAATAAACTTGTACTTAAAAATTATACAACAATTATACAAAAGCAAAACAAGGCTGCTTCCTATTAGTCTTTTTTAGGAAGTCTTAACTGGTGCAATAGATAAGAGACTTAACTATTGAAAAAGAGGAGAAAAAAATCTTTATTTTCAGATAGTATGATTATCTTCTCAGGAGAACCAAGATGTTAAAATAAGTAACTAGAATGAATAAGACCAGTTAGTAAGGTGATTACTAAATAAATAAATGTATCAAATGTATCAAAGACAATATCTTTCCTTCATATTAGCAATAACTGCTTAGTAGGCTATAAAAGAAAAAACATGCAAACTACTATAACAACACAAATTTTAAATACTTTTATGAAGAAAATTCTAGATCAAATAAAGATCAATAAAGAATATGTGGTAGTTCGTCTCCAAAGATGGTGGACAGACCACTTCCCCAGCAAGAGGTAAATGTTCCTCCACCTTTTGAATTTAGGCTGTCACATGACAGATTTGATCAATAGAACGTGGCAAAAGGAATCCTATGCTAAATCTAGGCTATCTTTAATAAGAGTAATTATTACTCTTTAATCTAGAGTAGCCTAGATTTCTTACATGGTGGCTCAGGGCTTCCAACTCTTGGAACCCTAAGCCACCATGTAAGAAATCTAGGCTACTCTGCTGGAGGGAGAGGCCATGAGAAGGAACACTGATGAGCTTGACTTATGAGCGACAAAGCCATCTTGGACATCCACCCTAATAAGCTTGGACTGCAGCTCCAGCTGCCATCTGACTGCAAACCATGAGAGATTCCAAGAAGATAATAATAAATTGTTACTGAAGGCATTAAGATTTTTTTTTTTTTTTTTTTTTAATAAATATACACCGGGCTTCCCTGGTGGTGCAGTGGTTGGGAGTCCGCCTGCCGATGCAGGGGACACAGGTTCTTGCCCCGGTCCAGGAAGATCCCATATGCCATGGAGCGGCTAGGCCCATGAGCCATGGCTGCTGAGCCTGTGCGTCCGGAGCCTGTGCTCTGCAACGGGAGAGGCCACAACAGTGAGAGGCACGCGTACTGCAAAAAATAAATAAATAAATAAATAAAATAATAATAAATAAATAAATATACACCAAAGGTAACTAAGACAGAAATCTCAAATACAAGGGAATAACTACCATTTGAGGGGACTGGAAAACTAAATTATAAGTTAAATTTATAAATTTAATATAATTACATTAAAAATTCCAATGGATTTTGTGTTCTATCAGAACTCTAAGATTCTGAAAATTATTTGAAAGTATAAACATGAGAATAATCACAAGTTTTTTGAAACAGTGGCATAACCAATTTAGGGAAGTAAACTGTTCATGATACTACTTCCGTTATGTTTAATCTTATTTATTTCTTCTCATTAAAAAATAGCATTCAAGCCATAAAAAAGCATATATGATGGCTTATGGATTAATATGCTTAATACCTAAAGAACTCAAACCTATTGGCCGGAAAAATGTTAAAACCCTAGGGAAATGAGCAAAGGTCATATAAAGACAGTTCACAAAGTAGGAAATTATTATTATTAACTAGCTGATAAATACAGGGAAAATCCCAATCTACAAATAATAGAATATATAAATTAAAGCAATACATTTTTTTGCTAATAAAATTGGCAATATTTTTTAAAATAATAATACTCAATTGAGTAAAGGTGGGGTGAGATGGGTACTTTTTTCTATTGCCAGGAATATTGTAAATTATTTTAATCTTTCTGTAAAGGAATTTGGCGATATGAATTGAGATACTATTTGATCTAATAATTCTCCTAAGGATTTCCCCAAAGAAAAATAGTTCATACCAGGGATAAAATTTATATCCAAAGATACTCATCATTGAATTATGTATTACAGCAAAACTTGGAAATTACCTAATGTTTTATTATTAGGTGTAGTGCTCTAGGGATTCAGATTGAGCCTCCCCAAAATTTGTCACTCCTGCATGAGGATTTTTTTGAGTTAAAGACATGAGACCCTGTGTGTTCAAGATAACCTACTGTTCCTCCCTTAACTACCTAGAAGAATTTAAACTGGGAATTTTTCCCAGAAAAAAAAAAAGTTATTACAGAGATAAATTTGAGCTAAGTAGCCCCATCTGTATGGTAGGGCAAATGTCTAATTGCCAAACATCTGCTTTTCTTATTGTCTTGTGAAACCTCCTTTTCTTGGAAGCTCCAGGCCCCTATCCCATTCCTTAGCTCAGGATGACGTGTATACCTTATTTTACCTTTCTGTCTTTGAACCTCTTATGTATGTAGGGACTCTGACCTTCTCATGTATGTGGGGTTCCTGTATGTATGAAATTAAATTAGACTTTTTCCTGTTAATCTGTCTCATGTCAGTTTAATTCTTAGACCAGTCAGAAGAACCTAGAACTGTAAAGGAAAGTTTTTTTCTTCTCTGACAGTACTAATTAAATAGGTTATAATCACATGATGAGATATTTTATAGCCTTTAGAAAGTCCATGGATAGTTCTTACTGTCTTGATAAATCTTCTTATTTAAGGTCAAGAAAAACATTAAGATACAAAATTGTATGTGTATTTTATCCAAACTATGTAAAAGTATAGAGGAAAAAAGCCTGAAGAAACTGTCAAAATGCTAGTAAAGTTGACTAGTGAATGGTGAAATTCTAAGTGATTTTCTTCATCTTTAGCATTTTCTAATGTAGTAAGCATGGTGGTTTATAATCAGAAAACCCACAAGGAAACAAATATATTATTTTAAAATGCAATTCAGGCTCATTTCCTTATATACATGGGCTTTGGCTCCATCTCCAAACAAAAGGAAGTTGTAAGGCACGTAATTAAAAACTCACAAAATTCAAAGGACTGGTTTCCCCAAGAGCATAAATATAAAGAATGTGCGATGTGTTCTCAGGGTGCATGAATCTTTAGCTATTGTGTTGTATATTTGTGCTTTATTTTTTTCAGCATTATTTCTAGTATTTCTCATGTTGCTTGTTTCCACATTAACAGCACAGCATGCAGCATGCGCTGGCAGTTCTTTGGCTTTATTTAGAGTTTTGTTCATTCACTTCTAAGTTCTTTATCAAAGGAATTGATTTTGAGGCATGTTTTTAGCCCTGCTTCTAGCACCCCATTAATGAATGCTTGCATTACATTGTTATAGAATACAAAAAATCTTTTAAATTGTAATGACAATGAATGGTTAAGTAACAGCAGAATAGGGACTGAACTCTGACTTAGAAGTTACTGTGCACATAAACAAATGTATGATTCATAAAATACTGACAAAATAAGGAGAATATTTTTTACTTGCTAGAGACTTCACCATGTGGCCTTAGCATAAACATAGCTCACCATTCACTCAGGCTACCACCTTTGCAATTATGCAATTCCTGAAGAAATCTTAAAATATTTTGATTCGTATTATTTTAAATTTTGTGCATGAATTGAGACTTTATAAATTTTTATATTATGGTCTCTTACATTTGCTTAATTCATAATTGCATAAAGTGGGATAGCATCATAAGAAGTCTTAAGGAGAATGCAAATTATCTCCCCATAGCTCTAGATGTGAATGAATAAATACAGAATATTAGGAAGCTATGAAATCATTTCCAAGGAGAGAAATGAAAGAGAATTGCAAGCTACTTCTTCAGAACTCCACCTCTTAAAGCTGGGTACAGTAAGTCACCTACATACAAACAAGTTCTGTTCCAAGAGCGTGTTCATGGTCCAATTTGTTAAGTCCAACAAAGTTAGCCTAGGTACCCAACTAACATAATTGCCTATATAGTACTGTACTGTAATAGGTTTATAATACTTTTCACACAAATAATACATAAAAAACAAATGCAAAAAATAAAGAAAACATTTAAAATCTTACAGTACAGTACCTTGAAAAGTACAGCAGTACAGTACAATAGCCGGCATACAGGGGCTGGCATCGAGTGAACTGGCAAGAAGAGTTACTGACTGGAGGAGGGAGAGGAGGTGGGAGATGGTAGAGCTGGAGGATAGTCAGCAATAGGAGATGGAGGGCAAGCTGCAGTTTCACTCATGCCTGACATTGATGGCACAGGTTCTGGCTCCTTGCTAGATTCAATTCTATCTTCCCTCTTGAAAAACGATCCAGTGATGTCTGGGTAGTAGCTCTTTTTTTCTCATCATAGATGACACGGTAGCACTGGATTGCATTCTGAATGGCTGCTGCAAACTTCATGTACTGTTCTATGTTCGAGTCCTGTGCCTCAAAAACTAACAGTGCCTCCTCAAATAAAGAAAATCCCCTTGCCACTTCCTGTGTCGTGAATCTCTTCAGTTCTTCAGTTACTTCTTCTTCCTCTTGTCTCTCTTCGTCCTTTCTCTGGGCCTCCAATTTCATCAGGTAGGTCTTCATTAGTAAGCTCCTCATGTTGCACAGCAACAGTGCTGGACAGTAAAGCACACAAAAGCACAACCACTTGTAGAGGATGCACACACGTGACAATGTACACCAGGCACGTGAACTAATTTACATGAATGGTCATGCAAACACACGTTCATATCTTTGAAAGTTTGCAACTTGAAGGTTTGTATGTAGGGGACTTA